GGTAATTTAATTTGTAAACAATATTAAGTAAATGAAAATTTGAGAAGTAGAATTCTTAGAGAGTTTTTAAGATTCATCTTATAATAATATGCTTGCTAATTTTAACAATGTAAAGTAACATTGATTTGACCAGTAAGCTCTCAAAGGTGATTATCATTCTGCGCACGCGCAGATTCAGGTTCTCGATTACTTGCACCTGATACTACAATCACTTTTGACTTAACTGGATCATATTAATTTTTCCAAAAATTGTACACCCGCTCACATAAATCTTAAACATCATGTGTTCTTATTGCTAGACCATTAAAACCTTTTTTCAAGCAAATCGTGCACGATCTTAGCGGTAGATTGTATGATCCAATTGAGAAGCGGATCTGTCAATCAGGTTACATATATATAATTATTTTTTTTTGTCGATGGATTAAGTTACGCCATGAGGAATTAGCCTAACAAGCGGTAGGAATTTTTGACTCGGTGAAAGTTTTAACACCCTGTCTTTAAACATTATGTTCTTGATGTTTTTAATTATGCGAAAGTTTAATTGGAAATTATGTAACTAAATTGTGAAATATTTATTTAAAGTATGAAACATAAAATGAAACAAAAAATGTTTCAAATTCCTTAAGTTTCGATTGAATTTAAAGTTCGAATTTTTAGACTACATAAGACTCAAAAATACTCTCTCCACTATTTTAGGAGAAAGATATAAGAAGGGTATATATAATTTTGATCCTGTACATTGCTCCTCTTATGACATTTCTCAGAACTTTCCAGCCGGTTTCCTTATGATATTTTCCTTTACTCTTGAACACGAGATGAATTTTAAATATGAAACAACTACAAAAACGAAATGCGTAGTAAGGTTCGTTGAAAGTCTGTAGTACTGGAGCTTACTAGAAGGTCTCGATTATGATCTCTGTATGTATGAAATCTTTGAATTGTCTTTTTGTGTAGAGTATTATTAAAACTTTTATAACGTGCCCCATCCCATATTTATGAAAAGGCGCTTTTATGTTTTGAGCTTTTTGAATGAGTTAAATTAAAAAAAAACAACACATAAAATACACAGAGGCATTAAAATTACTCAACGATTATCCAAATAACTGTTTTATTTATTACCATTAAAATGATAGCAAAATAAAAATCACCTCGCGAACATTTATTACAGACCATAAATCCTGTTTTGGTGCACTTAACGTTTTATTAGTATGTTATATGTCAGTATTTAATTTTAAATACCATATTATGTAGGATTATTGTTTGAACTTCTGAAAATTGATCGTGGAATTTGGTATACTAAATACAAGGGGTAGCTACAATGAAAGTTCCGAACCAATTTTTTTTTGTAATGATTTCTATTTAAAAGCACAATTTTCATTCAAATGCTTGTTTTTGCTTCTATTGTTGCTCAGATCCGAAGTCAGCTTGATCTATCTTCTATGTGTTTTGTAAAATAAGTCTTACAAAGCCAAAAGATACTTATAAAACCAGCTTCTGAAAAATCTCGAACTCGATAATTCTGATAATGCGTATAATGTAATCAAATTTGAACATTAACATAAGTTACAAAACCTTGCAATATCATATTTTTAAGAAACACTGTTGAATGCTTTAAAAATATTCATTAAACAGTCGACTCATCAAGTAAATTTATGACGAGTGACTCTTTATGTCATCTTATGTTAAAGAGAGAAAATTTATGCACTTTTGCAATAAAGTAATGAAGATTTTCAAGTGAATTTCATTTTACTACAACTGTCAATCATGTTTGAAGATAATTTTGTGTCCTCTTTTTCCTATACGTGATGTATAAAATTATGTACTTTATCCAACTCGTTACGGCTATTGGTAATGACTTAATATTATAATTGCGTTATCACTTCGAAGTTTTAAATAAGATATCATCGCGAGCTTTCTGTTTAACCAGAAGCTGTCTGTTTCATCATTTTATGATACGTTTGATTTTTTTTCATCACAAAACTTCTTTAAATAGGTATATATCATACGCTATAATCGATACCGGGAACATTAAAGGATTGTCGAAATTTTCATCATTAGCAAAAAATATAAAATAACTGTCAGAGATGAAGGCGTTATGATCGGTAGATCTGACGCCAAAGAAATCTCGTAACAGTCAAGAGCTTCAATAATTGGATGCCATTTCAAGCATTCAATCAAGAGAAATGCCATATAGCGGTAAAAATATACTTTGCAATTTTTTAATGTCGATACGCGCAACAATTTCTCTCGTTAATCATATTATAAGCTTAGCTCATTAAATGTGCATTTGTAATTGTCAATTTCGGTATCGAAAACAATGCGAGATACAGTGACGTATTGCGTACTAATAAGGTTTATTTCTTCAAAACTTTTAATCGAGTTGCAGTCGCTAATTACTGTCTTATCATCAATCATTGTTGCGACATCGCAAATATGGGTGGGAAGTGTAAAATAAATGTAACTTTATCGATGAAACTTTAAGTTGAAGATGGGTTGTCGCGAAATTCAATTATGCTCCAATAACGACACCGCCACTCCTCAGTACACATATTTTTTCTAAAAGCCTGTTTCACACTGCTCGTCAGTTAATCTTGAACTTAATCAATTACTGCTTTTATCTATACGTATAATGAAAGATAACCCGGTCCTGCCATATCATGCTGTATACCAAAACATTGAAATTTTAACATACATAACGTGCTTATATCTCGAGGGAGATGTGTTAAATCTTAATAGAGCATGTGATTTTATTATGTTTACTGTTTTTGTGTTTAATTTTTTTGTAATTAATAATTATTGGTGGCAAAGAAAGATTTTATTCAGCCTTTTCTTTCATAAAATCTACTTAATTGACTTTTTAGCTCAAAAATGTCGACCATGAAGTATTTAGATTATCAGTTTATATTACATAAAACAACTGTACAATTTTTAACTTCTGACTTAACATTTTTATGTCTCGTCTCATTTCGCGTGAAAACCGGAAATATCTTTTAACAACCCTATTTTTTTAGTACATACGTTTCTTAAGCTCCCACGTGCTTAACTTTACTGATTAACATACGATTAATGGCTTAGCAATAAGACAAACTTTCTGATAACTTTCTCAACTAGAACTATTGTAGGTGAAAACTTACTAATAATAATATCAATAATTTATTAGATTGAAATCTTGGACTTAGAATTGTACAAAACAGGATTTGTTAAATAGTACATTTTTGATTTACTAAATGTACTATATTATAAAGCTCCTATAAGTTTTATAATACACTAAATTGTGGCTTTAAAGCCTATGCCTGAAATCAATTTTTTCCCATAGAATTATAGATCTTTCATAGATACAGTCGTTTTCAAATGCCGGTTGTACAAACAAATGGAATTGTTTATGATTGATTATTTTTTTTATCATCTGACATTTACATGTCCGTCCGTCCATCTTTAAAATCACAGGGAATGAAATCGTGATAGGTCCAGTGAGCAATTGTAAGGTTTTGTGTTTTGATGATGATACCGATAATGTAAAGAATTTGCTATGTTACATTAAAATAAATATGAATTATGTTATTTTAATACGTACATACTATATTTTAATGTGTTATAGATATCAATGTGTATTAAGAAAAATGCACGGCGTATTGCTTAATATTTCTAAAGGAAAAATGCTATTCTTACGTATTACAAAATCGTATTATAAAATCGACATGTAAATCTTTATGCATGCGTTTCGAGTTCTTTCTCGATGATTGGCTCAATTTTTATGCACGATCTATATAAAACACATGCATTTATACCGTATGTCTAAACAGGAAATGAGCTGCCGTGATTACTATCGGTTTTACCTGTTTCATTAAACAGTAATTTTATTAATAACAAATGATTGTGATTTAAAATACGATTAATTTGTATGTTTACAACAACCGTATCAGTCAATAGCTTTAGAAATAAATCGAAAATATAAAATATTAGGAAAATCGTAACTTTGGTTATATTCATTTCGGGCAATTTGTTTCTTTAAATAGTAGGTAGTAGATTTTTAATTCTTATTAATTCTACAATATTATCACTTAAGATAACCATCACCGAATATGTATATCTGAATGAAAAGTTGCATTTACCATATTAACGGGTACAATGTACATATGAGTATTTATTCTGTCAAGAAAGGGTTCTTAATATGACAACTTAATTTTTAAATGAACTTACAAATAACCGTAAACGTAATAAATGAGAAAGCACATCAACAACAAAAGTAAAATCAAGAATTACAAATCCATATTGGTTATACTCCAAGGTTTACTTTCTGCTTAACATTAATTTAGGCGCCACTGATATATCTGACTCCGTTCTGTCAATTTCCAAGATTTTAAATCAACTTTTTCTTTATTTGGTAACTTTTAAAGTCGAAATCAGCCTGGTTATATGTAAACTGTTTTAAACCGAGTAGGTGACGCCAGTAGGCGTGATAATTCCTGCGGCAAATATAAGAGCTCCCGAAAACGTAGGTTTACTTTGGACAGAGCGTGGGAGAGGTGAAAGGTTAGAAATGCTGTTTTCCATAATCCAAATAAATATATTATTAGATCCAGCGAGCGATATACTGATTTTGTATTCACGAAGTCACCTATATGTAAGCGTTGAAAGCTATTTTATTTATATTATCGGATGTCTTGTTAATGCTCTTATTTAATAACTTAAAATATGCATCTAAGCTGTGACCTACTAGAGCAAGATATTGCGATAGTGATCCTGAATTTAAATTACGCCAATGTGTCATTTTAAATGCTAACCAGTCTGTGACATGGTAATCTATTTGAACTAGAACCTGTTAGATATATCAAATGCTCTCAAAAACAATGATATTCTGCATTTTTCATAAAAAATATCTTATATAGTTTATTAGTATTATTCTAGGAATATTTTTGAATATGATTGAAATAACTATATTTTTAATAAAAAAAATATCTTCTAAAAGAACATTATTTATGTAATAATATTCCTTTCAGGCTTACGAGTTGTCAACTTTGACGGGAACACAAGTCATGCTACTAGTCGCTTCTGAAACTGGACACGTGTACACATTTGCCACGAGAAAGCTTCAACCAATGATCACTTCGGACTCAGGAAAGAGACTTATTCAGACATGCCTCAACTCTCCGGATCCGCCGACTACTAGCGAGCAGAGGATGGCCGCTACCGGCTTCGAGGAAACCGAGCTCACGTATAACGTAGTAGACGACGATATGAAGGTGAGGCAATTGGCGTACGCTGGCTCCGGGCAGTATCCCATAGAGCATCACCCAGGGCTAGCCCCTTCGCCGTTGCAACAGTACCATCAACACCCCCCATGCCCGTCCCCTCTCCCACTCAGCTCGTTAGGACAACCCTACTCTCACGCACATCTATCTCACCCCCATATGTCTCATCATCCACAACGGTAGTTCAGAACTAGAGTTTACTGTTAATTGGCATCGATTTTATATCGATATATGGGAATAGTCACGTTCTAGACAAGTTTGTAAAAAGAGTACATATGCTACTATAGTTTATATACTTATTGTAAATAGTTTTTTAAGTTCCATCGTTTAGAAGGATTCAAGTTGGATTTTGGACAAGTGACTTTCGAATTGTAATAATTGTTGCATATAATTGTGAATCGAAATTGACAAGTAAATCGGATTGGACGACATAATAATTACAGATTAACTATTTAAATTTTACACATCTCGTGTTCGCTTCTCATTAAAAGCAATTTATTTTAATTTTTTTATTATAATTATAATGTTTAACCCTAAATCAATTTGCTTACGATCTTTAATTAATCATTCGTCAAAATCTATGAATGGAATCGATGTCTATCATCAGTGGTGTCGAAAGCGATCGGTAGCGAGTAATCACATTCAAAATCGGTTCATAATTAACGTCAGAAACCGGTTGTAGATTTTCGAATGGTGGTTCAGAATTGGGAGTCGTTTCGTGTGTAACTATTGATTCGTTATTATGAATGAATCGGCCTTTCATTCTGCTTTAGCTACAGTAATCGAGACGATTTAAGCGTGCCTCAATAATAAGCGACTTCTGTACGTAAGATTGAACATCCGCACATTGCGTAGTTAAAAATGATTTATATTTTTTTAAATAAAACGACATCCAGTTTGCAACATAATGTTAATCATATAAAAATTAGTTATACCATACTGACATTTCACGCTATCTTAATAGTTTAACAATTTTATTAGTAAAAATAAAAATTATTCCTTTTACTCGTGTTTACCGTAAAATGTAAAAAATTCCCAGTCAGTAGCAGGTGTTGAACTAGTAAGTTTCAAAGGAGATTTGTCGCTCCGGGCTCACGTCTGTATGTGAGTCGGATTATAAAATTAAATTGGAAATTACTTTGAGTTAAGATATATTATCTAAATGACTTGTCAAAGCATATTTGAGTTATGTTTTAGTCGAGAAATACGATGATCTATTTTATCTATGTAGAAGTAATGGGTTACTTTGATACATTGGATTAGATTAGTGCGTAAAAAAAGTATAAAATGAACGCTAATATTAATTATTTGCAATTGCCGAGTATATGATTTACGAGTGGTAGCTTCACTATTTCCAATTGATGGGTCATTGTTGATCTCATTTTATTCCTAAGTCAACTTCAAATATAACTTGTCAGCTTTGATACGTTGAAATCGATTACGTCGCTTCTCTCGATTCGGGCGATGATAAAAATCTTTCATCGCTTGGTCCTCTTGACGTACGGGAATAACATGTCCGGGGCAACATGAATGCTCATTGTTCACTTGTTGAAAAGTCTGACCCGATTGAAATATTCACGCAGTAATTGCGATTTTGTGCGATTAGGTACAATACAATAGCATATTCAAAAAATGAAATAACAGTGTACTTAGAGAAACTCTATTTATAGAAACATTAGCTCAATTTCTAACTTTCATAAAGTATATCATATTTTTTTTAAATATCCATCTATCGAAAGAGTCATCGTACCTGTGTTCGTATGTGAATTTAGTTTGTTTTTGACAGCGTTTTCTCCTGTCATAAATGAGATTGTCCTCGCATAAATTTGATAGTTTAAGTATTCTAAAGCCACATCGCGATCTGGCGAGAATATAAATGGTTGAGTCTGTGTCTGTAGCTCGGCCAACATAGGATGCTCTTGCATGAATTAGCGGTATAAATGCGGAATTCGGTCACTGCCCTCACTATAGTGATCGCCTAATCTTAAATACTTTGCCGTTTCGTAAAATCACCACGTTTCACTTTCAGTGTCTTAAAGTCTTCACGTAGTATAGATAGTATCGTTACACTACAAGACGTGTACATAATTAAGAAAATTTTTCGTTTATCGTCGTGGACATTTTTACTTTTTTATTCCATCTGGAGCTTGCTCTCGGTGAGTCATAACGTATTCCGCGCGACACGCGTCTATTCTAGACGCCGCTCGTTATATGTCTCGCACCTCCCTATATTAACTTATCAACACCATTGTTTTGATAAACGCCCGGACAATTTTTGTTGACTCATCTCATTGTGTGGCATAATTGTTGGTGTATAAGCCGATTGCTCAAGTCTGGCGTGATTTAACAATAAAGCTAATTTGACTAATAGGTGCGTTGTAATCGTCGCCGCGTGTGGTTTAAGGATTAGCTACAATATCATCGGTCCGTACTGTTCCTTTAATAAGCGCCTCTCTAAAGCTATTGTTCTAGTTTTTGTTTCTTTATCTTGCTTGTATCTTGATTTCGGATTGCATGGCATCATTATTTCAACTTTACTTTTAATGTATGGTTAGTTCATTTATCGATAGTTATGCTTCGCTGATTATTTGAAAGCGTTGGCTTATAAAGTGAAAAAGTAATTATTCAATAGTTAATTCAATTAAACATTCTACTAATGTATTGAATCAATTAATTTTTTACACGAATTCTTATAAAAAACGTATTTTACACCAATGAGTTATATCTACCTATTAATGAAACGACGTAGATCATTCTTTAAAATTCTTTAATCTTTGTAAGAATAATCGCTTTAAATACCGGTGTATCCTGTAATTATCCTGTCCGCCGACCTCTTTAACAAAGTGTACCCACAATAACTGCGATATAAGGGTAATAATCGTATAATCGATCTCACTGTGTCGTTATATGCTGGGCAAATTAAGAGATTTTGAGCAGTTTGGATATTTCTTATGCGCGACTTGCGCTGTCATCTCGGTAATGGTACCGGGAATTAATCGCTGTGGAAGGATGTAAAAAGACTATTTGTGACTAAAATAAGTATGACATATTTAATAAAATTAACGTGACATTGAAATTTACCTTTAGTTTTTAATTTAATTTACTTGTAAAACTACGCTGTAAATTTAATTATAAAAAGTACATAATTTTGGCCATGCAAACATCAACAACATAATATTTAATAAAAAATATATTTTCCCTCAGAATCGGTTAATAGACAGCTCAAATAATTTAATATTATTTGAGAGCTAGCTTTTTTATATACTAAAATCAGAGTAGTTCAATATAAAAATTAAGTTCTTTATATAGAGCGTTGCATAACGAGTCCATATATAGGTCATTGGAAGTACGTTTGATGAGCGATTCCGCTTCGACGTTATTTTGAGGCGCGTTCGGTATTATTTTAGGAGCTTTCGTCCACTCCTTGCACTATTACGGTAGACCTGCCCGCATTTCTGTTGCATAATTCAGACACGAACTCCGCCGTTTGCATTCCGATACTTGATATGTGCTTTCACATGTATTTATGTACCAGATTTTGTGTCTTCGTAATGTTCGTCGAATAAATAAATTGTGTAGGCACAAATACAATGAGCGAGCCGGCGTCCCTCGTTACGTCGGCGAATGTAAAGTTAGCTTCTTGGGTCAGCTTGTCAGGTTGAGATATTTCGCGGCAGTTGATGCGATCGCTTATATCATTGTTTAGGGACTTCGTTACAGACGCTACATCAACGGTTCATGTCTCTCGTTACAAATTGTCATGAGCTCGTTTAGCAAATCGGGCATGTTTTGTTTTTATTTTTGTTTAGTTAAGTTGTTTTTCTGATATTTTTAGTTTTCTTTCCTAGTATGACTATTGTGAGTTTTTAAAAACTTCAACATCAGTAATCAGCTTAGTAATCCAAAATCCCAACATCATTATCTTGCGTCCATCAAACACAATTCTGCTCACATCTCCTTTACCGCAATTCTAATGATTTGCGGCGGAGGTCCTCCTTTGTATGCGTTAGGCTTGACGTTTTGTATGCAAGGTGCAGCGACGCTATCCCGTGCCCATCGGATCCAGAAACTTCCGCGACCGACCGTCCTGATTGCTCTAATTGAAATTTATTCTCTGCTCCCTGCACGCGCCCCGATTGTCCAATGCTTTCTAATTCGATAGCAATAATGAATTAGTGTATAAATTGTCATAGCAGCCCTTGTATTTGCGTCTGCATTTATGCGATCTCGTTTACTGGAGCGACAGTGGACGTGCTCATCCATTATAGATAACCGGGTATCGTCAGAAGGTTGAAGTCTGTGTCATTCGATAATTGGACCCACGATTATGTAGCCGATTGAGCTTATTTACAAACATATGTGATAAATCCCATGATTGACAGTTGATCATTGCGATATTCTTGATTAATTTAAAATCAATTAGAATAACGCATGTAACAATATACTCGAATCATAATTAAGATTAAATGCTTTTCATAGATTAATACCGATGTGTCATTTCTGTGTGATATGGTTTCGGTTGGATTGATTCAGCGAAACGATGCCGGCCCACTTCCTAAAACTAGACTGAGAGACGCAGATGGTTAAAATTAGGCCCGCCGGGAATAGCGTAAACTGTGCGTGCCTCGTCACCGCGCCGACCTCATGGATATTGTGTTACAGTGCAACTAATCAAAATTTCAACTTATATATATAAATATATATATATAATATATATATATATATATATATAATATAATATATATATATATATTGAAATTTTTTACATTTTCTTATTACTATTAAAGTGTTGTTGAAATGTTTAATAAATCAAAAATGTTTATGATTAATCTTAATTTTTTCTACTTATAACAACTATGACAGCAAATTTTAAAGCCGTTGTTTCGAATACGCAAACATTGTTTTCCTGTCAACGGGTGAATATACAAGTTATCTTTGGGTCATCCTTTTGTTATCTCAACGCCTAGCTCGCTGGCACAGTGCGGCGAAAGGCTCCATTGTTTATATTCCATCGCTTGTAGATTCGAAAACGTCTGCATTTTTCATAGCAAGCGAGTATTGGACGTCACTTAGTTTCAAAGTATCGTTACATTCAGGTTTGTCGGTACAGCCCGACCGTTATCTCGTGGGAAATGATTGTAGCCGGCGCGCTTTGTTAGGATGATTGTCCACTAGCGGTGTAGATGCGGCGATAGGTAGAGCCTGCGTGACAGCTATGGGAACAAAGCTGTGTGCGGATGATACTTTTGTTCTGTTAAAGGGATTACAGCACTATATGGCGTAAACTTTTGTAGTTAAAATGATTTTATTATTGCAGATATTATAAAAAAACCGAATAAACAAATAAAACACCATTATATTTCACTATACGGTCATTTGGATGTCACATAGATATACTACTTTGTAATATTTTGTTCATTCCTTACAAATTACAATATGAGAATAACTTGTATCACCTTACGTCTAATATATTCTACAAGCGTACCTACACCGCTAACTCGAGGCTATTCAGTTTTGAAAACAAATCGTAACCATCGATCCATCATACTTTTTCTATTGATCGTTACTAGAGCTTAAACAAAACGCTTTCAAATGGTAATCCTCGGAACGTGCCATGAATTGGTTCCGCCGTGTTTCGTGGGAAATATCCTACGAACATTTAAAATTTCAATTTGTTTAAACATTCACGTAAATGTTAGCCAATTATCTTAGGAAACCGTCTAAACTTAAGACATTTTAAATTTTGCTCAACATTATTATTGTTCAGCGAATTGGGGAAGTAAATGAAGATCCGATCAAACGATAAACATCAATAATGTGGGTCATTGAATAACTTGTTTGTATTTTGAACAATTGACCTTATATGGCCACCTACAGGCGGTGATATAATCGCTTTTGCTTTGCGTCACACGTGGGCGGCGTCCTTCCGAAACGCTGGCGCCGATCGGCTAATACCTTTTCTATCTATAAACAAGTAGAAGTCGTCTTACATATTTGATCTATTTTAAAATGATATGCCTTGACTATTCTGTTCTTAAATAATATATAAAATGTATAAAATCAAATCCAAATATGTATACAAAGTACAAAGTGACGTTAAATGTTTACGAAATCTGAAATAATGATTTTACTCTAACTTTATAAAGGTAATGCAAAACAATTGTACTTAGCAAAATCATATAATATTGAGGAACTTATGTTACGTGCTTAAATAGTAAGTCAGCATAAATCTTATGGCAGTTTGTTATAAATGCGCACGCGCACCTTGCACTCAGATGATTTATATATGGTTAGTTAAACTCATAAAACATACTACAAATTTATCTTTAAATGCGTATATATAATAATTGTATAAGTTACTTACATTTTTCTTATTTAATATTATATATCACGTCAGTCAACAATAAATTTTGCAATTTTACTTGAATGAAAATTTATATGATGCAAAGCCTAGGTAGGCTTTGCATCATCTTAAAAATATCTATCGCCGTGCATATCTGAAACATGATTGTTTCTTCAGGTTGCGTCATAAAATGGAAATATAAATTGTCTTCCTGTATTTAGACGATTTGAATTCATATTGGAATGTATACGAGTTTAGCCACTATTGTTTAACAGTATAGTGAAATATTAATTAGAATTTATTACGAATACTATAAGTTTTCTTCTTATATTATTGAACGAGCATACTACACCCGGTTATCAATCAACGGCTTAATTTGTTTTTGGTCTTTTATTCAGTGATTTCTTCTCTCTCGCCAATCTCGTCATGACGTGACATGAATCTTAAATTTTGCAACACGTGTTTCAGTGTCGCGATATTTTCTCAATGAGTTCTTGTGTAGAAATCCACTAGAGAATTCCAATCTTCAGTTGCGTCATTCTGAATCGAAAGTGGTCATAAACTTACTTAAAAGCCTTGGCAGTGTTGTATCAAGTTTGGTTGATCTGTGACATTGTGGAGATTGTCTTGTCTATTCCGTTTTAGCAAGTGGCGATATCATATCGTTAGATAAAGACGCAAGATTCAATCTCGGGCTCTCACTTCCGTCCGCCTACGGCAGCGCAAACGCCGCCCACGCAGCGACTTAAAAATTGCAATAGTACTCTTCCAGGCAATATTTCTTTTATTATTATCGTATCATTACAATACAATTTAATAATAGATATGCTAGCGTAAATTCACAAATTCTTCAAATTTTCCCTTTGGACATTACGTTAGCTTTTATTAATGGTGTTTGAGACGTTAATTTTAGACTAAAAATTTTTGGAAACAACAATAAGGAGTTTTATATGGATTACGCAATATAATATTTCAACATTTTTATACGTAAACTTTCTGTTGGACATTCAAACACCGGCTAACTGTTGTCGTAAGGATGACATCAACACGTAGGTGGCGCGAGCTATAAAACGCGTTTCCTACCACTTTGTGTTAGAGAACCTTTCGAAATTGCTATCCTCCTTAAATTATGGCTCAATTCGGATCGCTTTTCTGTTGTAGTGATATCCGATCTGTATTTTGCAATAACGGTACGGCGCTGCCCATTTTAAAAAGTCATGGTCCTCGTCGAAAACATTTTCGCATAATGACAGTGGATGGGGTCGCATCAAGCTTATATAATTTATTGTGGTTCTTTACGAATTATTTTTTAAAGATCATATTAATTTGTATGCCCTTTATTTCGTTGAGAAATGTTTACAAAAACGTCCGTTTAAAAAATTGTCAATTTCTTAGCAAATGCAAGTTTAATATTTTGCAAGGTGTTTTCTCCATTCAAGGTTTAGCTATTTAATGATCATTATAAGTTAACATTGTTAGCATTTATTTAATTTCGCTTGAATTATATTAACTAATAGAAAGAGAATGTTTATCTCCAACTAGAATCCTCGTAAACGCATGGAGACATCTGCGAGTCATTTTAATAAAAGCATCATAAATAGTCGACATCAGAAAGGAACAATACACAGTAGTCGAGGGCTGGCAGAGAAACAAACACACACTATAATATGTATACATGAACGTGACTCGATTTACCAAATCAAAAGAGACGCGAGGCTTAAGTTAACATTTTACATTCGCTATGTAAATTTTGTTTATAATTCCGCGTTTTTACTGTAAGATTTTATTCTAATGCATTTTACTCGATTAATTCTCAGGCCATTAATAAAGTGCCATCGTCTCTATAGTATTTAAGTACATCGAGGTTGATATTTCGAAGCATCGATTAGGTTTTAGGTTCATTTGCACATTCATCCTCATTTCATGATCATCGTTGATTTCACCCAAGCCATTACCTACTCAAGTTTAGTTAAATATTTGCAAAATATAAATTGTTGCTAAATTATCTGGTGCTGTTGCAATGGTTCATTCTATATTAGGTGATCTCTTCGCATTAAAATTGTTCTGATTTTATATTTAATTTTAAATATTAATATATTTTTATAATGTAGTTAATATTAGTTACGTCCGTTCGGGACGCAGTCCTGTGACATTGATACCTGTATTAAAGTAACGTAACATTCCCAGTTTGCGCTTTCGTGTCCATAACAGTGTTTGTGATCCATCCAACGTAACGTATATTAGTTTTAAGGCATGATGTGTGTTTTTTGAACGAATGACTCTTAAAACTGTTAAAGTATCGGCTGACGCTTCATTAGTGTATTTTATAAAATTATTGGTGCTATATTATACGTGTTATGAAAAAATTAAACTTATTTAATAAATAATGAAGAGTTGATCGATCCTGATAGTCGTGTCTAGTACTTTAAGACTTAATATATTAGTCAAAAGTACCAGAGCGAATGTGAAAAGACATTTGACGTTAAAACATAATAATAAATTAATAATTTAGTTGTTAAGTAATTAATGTATCCTAACATAGAGCGGCGTAAATGAAAAGACTGTGGACCGGTGTCTTCTTAGTGCCTTACATAACCGTGAGGGAAAAGTACGTACTTAAAAGTTGTGTCCGAACCAGTATTATTTTGCAGCCTATAATGGAATTGAATTTGAGGAACAAGTTTTTTGAATTATTAGTAAATAGGTTGAAAAAGAATCTCAGTATAGTTTTTGGTCGGCACCCAATTCTTTATCTGTACTTATGTTAACCAATCACTAGTCTGAATGGTCAATAAAATACTCAAGATTCAACTCAATTCACTATTAAGCAAGTCTTCAGAAGTCATGACAAATTTTCAATCAAATATTTTATAAATGTCCCCGCGATAGAATACATATTTATTTATGAAATGTGCATAATATTGTATATGAAAAATTTACTTTTATAAACGGATAATCTTTTACACGAGTACTTGATATATGCCATAAATAACGATAATATTTAGTTTCATAAACTTAATTCATAGCGTTTGTATCATTATTAAAGTAATAAATGCTTTAGTGACTCAAAATTCCGGTCACGATACAAAAAAATCAGCAGCTTATGTTTAAATATGAAATTAAGTTTTCAACGGACTTTTATTGCATTTTGAGTCGATTATTCATCGGCCTCTGATAAATGTGCGACGTGCAATAATTCAATTCTCGTTTAAAAGGTTGTTCAATGTGCAAGTCTACTTCGAGTGTGCCGGATGAGTCCGGATGTTGTTTTACAATCGCTAGTTATAAATTGGCGTAGTTAGCGCCTTTTTTTGTTTACTTGTTTTGGCTTTTTAATTTATACACTTGATTGAGCTCTGTAATTATATTTGAAATTGACCGTTTGCTATCAAACATGAAGCCAGTTGGATACGATAATTCTGTAATAATAACTGCAAAAGGAACTAACCTTTTAGCGCTTAATCTAACTAACCGCTAAAACGTTGGTTCCTCTTGTATTTAGTGTCGCAGGAAAAGAGTTGAAATATTTAATGTTGCAATTAAATTTAATCACTGGGCATAATATTATATTTGTGAATTTTTTAGAGACTTAAGTGGTTGTGAGGACCAACTTGTATTTAGTTTTAACTTCGTCCACGACTAACTTAGTAAAGATATACGATAAGTCGCTTTTGAGGATTATCTGTTGAAATGTATACTCAAAAGTGACTTAAAAGGCAATGTGATAGAAATAATACCTAAAGACGCTAGATCATTGTTACTGTAAAATACATTTTTTGTAAATATGTACAATAAAGTAACAGAATAAGCAAGAGTAATTTTAATACTAGATACAATGTTGTACAATTTTTTCTATTTAAATATTTTTTGAAAGATTTAATCTACACTATTTTTAATACTGAACTATTTTATCGTTTCGAATAATTTATATTATGCGTTTGTACAATCTCGTAGACAAAATGAAGGAGACATGAAAGATTATAAAAAATAATAAAACGTTAAAAAATTTGATCAGATTTTATATTGCGATTAAATTTAAGTTACCTTACCTGTACAACCACCATCGGACTTTGGGAACATGATTCCTGTATGCCGTCCTGTGCCTTTAATCAAAGTTTCATCTTTTACTGCAAAAATAGCTTACATTTTTAATTTACTACATATTTTTGAAAATTTCAATTGCTATATTGAAACTTTAATTAAGGCATCGCATAAAAATATCTGTGATTAGGGGTGGCGCCCGAGGGGCCCCAGTTAAGGTACCTCATTATTTCATCGATGTACGTCACATGACTTAAAGGCCTAAAGACATGTGATCGTATTCGCTGGAATTTTGGTGTATTTTAATTTCGGACGTCACCAAGTGGGCCATACAGAACATCTTCCTTCTAAAATCAAATATTTTATGTCCCATTAATGTATGGTCTTAGTTTCCGTTATTATTTCAATTATTCAAAGAGGTGTGTCCGATAGTGTTTGATTTTATCGATATAAATCGACCATTTCGACATCACTAGATGGGACGTCCCTCGGAGGTATCTCGAAGCGGTCATTTAATAGTTTTTTAAGTACGTCGATGCCAAAGCTGTTCAGCCTGCCCCTATAATTACTTTCGCCCCGTCCAACACGAATATTGCAATCGCAAACCCGGTGTAATTGCTCAATGATCCACCTACAAGTTTTCTCGCGTGGAAAGGCGGCTGTAACAGCTTTCTTCGACTACACTCGATGCATAGCGTAAGATTGGCCAATCTTTCTGAAAACAAATATGTGAATAGAAAACAGAAAACAGAAGACTGCGACAAGGTAAGTGGTTTATTATTTAACCTTTAACGACTAACATCATTAAACTTGTTTTTGTTCACGTGTGTTTTTCGATGTGCTTTTTCAGATTTACTTCGTACAGGTATCAATTGAATAAAGTGATGTGGAGGATATAAGTTTAATATTTAATGTTACACGACTTTGACAATGAGAATTTCGCGAGAGGAGAGATTGTGAACTTTTTTATTGGACATTAAAATGAGAACGACTTTACAATGCAAAGTTTATTCATATTATGTTTCGACAGTTATTTACAATAAATAGGCACTTAACCTTAAAGTATTTGTATGAACATTTATAAACATCAATTTAATTATAAATTATTTAAGGATGACATTCATTCCTTTAAATTTTATTCTTTCTTAATTCAATCTTATTAGTTTATTAACGTGGCGATGTTGTTTTTTTTTCATAATTTTTACTTAAACGTACGTGCTTCTTATATATTACAAATTATCCAAAAACTTTACCGATTTATAAAAGTATAAAGATAGTATTTTAAGTTTAACATTATTATCGTTCACTTACAATTTTCAAAAGCAACAATATAACATTACCTGGCATTTGTATTAAAAAGGTTAACGCAAAGTGCTTATTTTTCCACAATCGTTTAACCGTATATTAAAGCCGACACCAAATTATCTGGGGTCAGTTTAAAGTATCCGTTTAAAATATTGTGACGCTTCGTGAATAATCTCTACTACGTGCGCCTACTATATTATGCATACCAGAATGACTTGGCCCCGGTTCGTCTTCAACACGTCCCACTGTTTTGAATATTTTGTGGTTCCGTGTAACTGGTCCAGTAATTTCTCCCGATGATAGTCGTTTCAATGGGTCAGATTTACGACAGAACGTGCAGTAGTTCATCGTTTTGCGGTCTTTATCTCCTAAGTCGGTTTGTTCTAACGCTTATAATATGCAGATCTGTACGATTCACAATAGCTTCTAGATTGTATGTATTAATTTTATTTGAGACAGCTTGACGTGTTGGGTTAAAATGATTAATAATAGAAAATATGTCACCAATTGTATAAACAATGAGCTGTTTAGAAATTTATAGGCCTTCAATTGAATCTTGTTTGTCTCTTGAGTTGACGCATTTTGCTTTTATGGATAGATGTAGGAATTTAGAATATAATTTTAATTTAGTAGCAGTAGCAATACGATGTAATAATTTTTAATTAGTAAGTATATTTATTTTATTTATTTATTTAGTTAGTTTAACACCTGGACAGCAGTATTATTTATCTATTTGAAGCGTGCCTTATAAAAACTAAACCTATTACGATTTATGCTAAGATGAATAATGAGCTGATTATTTTTTTTATTCTTGATTTTTTTCATAATTCGCACTGATTATTTACAGCAGAAATGATGTAATGATAATGATGTTATTGAATGATTCTACGGTTATAAATCATTGAGTAACCTTATTTTTGAAATGTAGTTAAATTTGACGGAAGAATTAATAGTTACTGTATATGATTAGTTCCAAAACAATTTTTTTTTATTCTATATATTTTGTTATTGCATTTGAATCTAACTTAGAGATTAAGAAAAAGTATTTCGATTTTTAAATGTTTCATCACATTTAAAAATAAAAAAGGAATGCGATTTCAATTAAACATTTAACCGTTCAATTTCGATCTGTTCACGCTTGACTAGACTTTTTGCGTTTTAAAATGAGTAATGTGTGATAGAAACGAGAAGTGAAAAATGCCTGAGGTAAAATCACGAACGCTTTCCCGACAGCCTGACCGTTTGTTTGATCGTGTAATTAACACTAATGGTCTGTTTTTACTGTCGCCAATCTTTAATGGAAACAATTGTGATTTTTGCTCTTAACTTTAACTAACAGGTAAAAAAGTTTAAATGATCTTCACTGTCTCGTTTCCTAGTAGGAATTATAAAACTACGATAGCAAATAGTGTTGGTTATGTCATTAAGAAAAGTTCTATTTTCCCATTCGCATTTATTTATTTGTACTTCATTGCACATCACAAATTAAACTACTATTTCTTTTTAAATTAGTACTTGTACTACAGTCTAGTTATCCCTATTAATGTCATGTCCAGTAAGTGCATTTGTGTTCTACGAAATAAGTCAGCTCCGTCTGAGAACTATTTCTTTTTTAAGATTTTCAAGAACTAATATTTATTCAATTATTATTTCAATGTAGTTAGTTAGCAGTTTCACCTGGTGTGTTACTTTGAGTTGTTTAATTGTAGCGGGACTCGATAATCCAAGTAAAAAAAGAATTTTATATTATTTTATGTTATACTATTCATTATTCTCTTAGAAAACATTAAAACTGTTGGTTTTTTCTCACGACACTTAACTCGTCCTAGAAAGAGCTTAGGAATTCTGTAGTCGGTGTCGTAATTTGTTGAAAGCGTGATTAAAAACATTCCGGATTATCAAGTACTTGTATTTCTTGGAAAGATGGGTCTAAAGTGTCCTGGTAGTGTAAGAAAACGGTTGAAATCGACATCAGTAAAAAATAGCTGTCTGTAAAATGTCGAGTCTATTGTAGGTTTTTACTTTTTATAGTATCATTATTGGGGCGATTTTCCAAGTTATTTATCCATTGGCTGTTTTCAAGCTATTCAATGGAATGTATCGGCATTCTCATATCTTCTGCTAGTTATCCATCAATCACGTACTAAAGTTTTTTTTATATCTGACTAATGTCCCATGGAATACACTGATATACTGGAATTAATTGGCACTAATTGAGATAAAAATAAAAACATTTATGATCAAAATTATATGGTTCTAGTGTTGTGTAAAAGTAGACTATTTAAGGGGGAAGGGGTTGTGAGTGATACGAATAAGATGTAATCTTAAATTATTGTTTTTAGGGTTCCGTACCTCAAAAGGTAAAAAAGGAAGGAAGTACCCTATAGGTTTTGGGTCGAAAAGTTACAAGAAAGATTTCCTACAGTTTGTACGGAATCCTCGGTGGGCGAGTCCGACACGCACTTGTCCGTAATTTATTAATTGTATTGAAATGACAAATAAATATTTTATTCTATACAATCATAATATGTCGTTTCGATATATATTTTGGGCTTGTATTCTTAGACATTTCGTCTAAGCTCCATGGATCAGGCTAACGAGTAGATAATATTTATAACTAGCATTGCTCGCGGCTCCGCCTGCGTTCACATGACCAAAAACTAAATTTTGAGGTTTTACATAATAGTATAGGTACTCTTACATTGCAGCTTTTGTATTTTTTCTCAGAAATGAGATATTTCGATGCGGTAACAGACAGACAGACAAAAATTCAAAAAACTATAGATTCGGAATCTGTATCGCTAATAATATTTATTTCAATAAGATTTTTCAAAAAATATTTAATGTACAGATTCGGCTTTGTTACAATGTTATTATATGTATTGTATGTATGGTATTGGTTGAAAATAAATCGTATTTCTGCAATAAAGTATATGCTATAAAAGAGCGACAGAACATCAACATACATACAAATCAATAAATCTACATAAACATCTACAGACAAATCTTTTTAAAAATTGTATTGTAAAATCTTGTTCGGTAAAGGATTTGGCACGCGGTTAAATTATAATCAAGTTCCGATGTTCCAAGTAGCATTAAAGATAATAATTTTAAGTGATTTCGCGCCCGCTGAAGAACAAACAATGTGTGGTATATTATTATTATAATGTGCTAAATAATTGAATAAAATATATACTTATTGGTGAAAATATCACTTGTAAGTAACATGTACGTAATAATAAAATTGGTCTGAGTTATAGGTCAGGTCAATACTTTCCAAGAGTTAAGTGATGATGAGAATGAGCACCTTCATTTCACTTAAAAGAAATTTTGTGTTTCTATCAATGAATGAAACTTGTAGGAAAAATCCATTACAATTTTATTTTTTATACATTAAATTGCTGTACTACGGATAGATATTATAAGAATAAACACTCGTTCTATCTGCCACGTTTCTAATTTCAAAAATGATCCTCTTCCGTAAAAAATCACACCCTGTTAAATTTAATTTGTTTTAGGATATACCATTAATAAAAATATGTCAATCACTTAAGTGAATCGGATTCACTTGTAAATTTAATTTGGATTGACTTACATTATGTAACCAAAATAAATTGTCTTTATGTTTTAGCAGAAATATATAAACTGACATTTTTAGACTCCGATCACTTTAATTCGGTGCTGTCATGAAATCTATTCATACCTATAAAGTGTAAACCTTTCTGCCAAACAGATTCTTCGATTTCTTCAAGAACTTCGAAATTTCGCGTTTAGTCAAGTGAGTGAAACTGTCGCTCTCATACTCGTATAAATAGATATATATTGTGATGTAACAATATTAAAGTATTACCTATAGCATATAAGTTTTCCTATTATCTCTTCTGCAATATAAACAAATCGCCATTATTTTCAAGTTAAGCATCGTGTTGATCCCTGATCTACTATTGACCTCTCATCGGGGTGGCAGAAGATAGACGATTATATCGGATAAGATAACACAGTTCTAGACTATCCTTTAAAATTAGCCGCTGATCCGAGGGAATATTATTCATACTGTTTTATGGAGTGAATTCGATGTATTTTTTTTTTTATTATGACATGTCATTGGTCAAATTTTCCCCAATGAATTGCTGATTTTCATGATTCTTTTTTTTATAATTGGGTCTCAAGATCGACCTAAATAAATTGAAAAAAAAAACATTTAAAGACAATTTAGGGACCTTATTGTTTTAAATTAATAGAGTTCCAGAATTCTATAGCAAAAATTAAGAATTTGCAAAAATGTATGTCTTGAAACTTTTTTTATTAGGTAAAGTGCTTTTTTATATTACAAGTACATTTTTTATTAGTATTTACATCGAAGTAGAAATGCTATATGTATTACATATTTTCAAAACACATACTTATTACAACTTTCAAAACATTTAACAAAATGGCGTTATGGTACTAGCATTAGCCAGTATTATTTTAAATTAGAACTTTTTTATTATATTAGTATTGTTGTACGTATAAATTTACTTTAAAATAATTTCACTACGTTTTTTAAACTTTATTATCAGTGCGACGCTATATCATATGCAACGTAATAAATAAGCTCATTAGCACTTACAAGCACAGCTACGTTGTAGGATCGCCGAGCAAATAAAAGTTAAAATCCCTTGTAGATAATGCAGAATTTTCCAAATGTTATGTATGTGAAAGACTAGTTTCGCTCCTGGCTTTGCTTGCTTCTTCCATTTCATTCTTCTTTACTACTCTACAAAACTTTTTTTAAAGAAAAACAAGCAAATAAATAAACACATTTTCGCATTAATAATAATACTTGTAAGAATGTACCATTATCAAGAAAAGAATTACTTCCACAAACCTATTTCATACTTAAGACTAATCGTTATTTTTAACTACATGGAAATATTAATTAAAACATTCAAATGAATAATTTGTATTCATACAACATTCATACAAAATTATATAAACCCATCTGCACCATTTATCTACACAATTTACATTGTTGAAATGCTTAATCATAATACTCCTGCGATAAGCAATTACCTGAGATAGTGTTGACAGAGTCTAGCCATTGCAGAAATTAAATTGTCCGAAGACTGCTCCTTTAATACTATATATGTATGTTTACTAGCAGAACCCGCGGTTTTGCTTGCGCTAAAACTACAAATAAAAAATTAAAGTTTAGTTCATACAAACTTTCATCATCTATTTTACTCCCTTATGGGATGAATTCCGAAAAATGCTAAAACACGTATTTATTTAATTGTATTGAAGAGCATTAATACCAAGTTTCAAGTAATTATGATACTAAATATATTTTTTTGGTTGTATTATACCAT